TTTATTTATATATCAAATTGTCACTGCCCATCTCATTAAAAAGCAACTCTGGGCAGTTTACAGATGGGATAAAATCCATTAAAATACAATATAAAACTATCTTAAATAATAAATTCCAAGGGATGATAAAATTGGCAAATATTTTTGCACTACTGTGTGGGCACTGAGTGTCATCAGGGTGCCAGCCACCCCCAGGATTGATTACAACTCTTGCTCCCCATGCAAGCTGACAGAGCCAGTCTTACTTTGTTCTTTGTTCTTCTAAGTCTACATGCAGGCTGCTTGATTGTAATGTATGAGCTGTTTATGCATGCTTTTTTATTTTTGTTCCTAAGTCTTGTTTTTAGAAATTCTTGTAGCAAAACATTTTGATGAATTGCTATGCCCTAATGAGTGATACTTTGCAGCAAAAAGCATTGAACCACCAGATGCTACCACCACTACTTTGGGGTCCTTGAGCCACCACTATAATAGCAGTAAAATTCTCCAGAATAATAAAGGAGTAAAGACTATAGTTTTAAAATTTTAAGTCAGATTTAAACCTTATTTCCCTTCTTCTAACAGGAAAATTCTGCCATACTATTGCTTTTGGAAAGTCTGGTAATTGTTGAGCTTAAGTCATTTTAGCTGCATTATTTGCTGAAAGGCTGTTAGACTCAAGCAACTAAAGCTCCAAACCACTTTCTTGGGAGTCTGTCATATTGAGTTTTGCAACATGCATTCTGTGAAAATGTTTACAGAATTATACTTTTGTTCCCTCTTCCCAATCCAGAAAAATACACTGCAGGTACATAATACTTAATCTGTGCTATCCTGCCACAGAACCTTTTAGTTTATTTGCTAGCTTGCATGTTCTTGATAGCTGAATTGTTGAATAATTTATATAGAAAACCAAAACTATCTAATTATGTTTCCGCTAAATGGTATTTGTAATATCTGGAGAGTATTTTTCACTTTCATTGTTTATTAAAGCAGTTCACTGAATTTTGTTAGTTTTGAGATAAGTTTGTTTTGTTCTCAAGAACTATGTATTAAATACATCTGTCAGACCAGTTCCAAAGTTGAACAGAAATGGCCATGACAGTGGAATCCCTGCTTCTTAAAGCTGGGCCAGCTCAGGGCATTCAGGGTGAGTTTATCATTTTCTTTCAATTTTTTCCTCCCATTTTCTCTTCCATTGATACAATGAGAAAAATCAGCCACCTAGAAATTAGCATAATTTATCAATCCAGACTATTAACATGTCAGTGGAATGAGAAGGGTTTGGTTACTGCCATATTGGAATACCTCTGATATAGAAAGAATTTCATTGATGGTACTCTGCAGTGACAATTGTTTTTACTGGTCTTTGGGACAGTTTTTAGGATTGCTCTAATTAGCAAACTTATCTCAGTGCTAAACCATACCTGTTTCTCACATTTTTGTATTAAGATTACAGGAAAGGTTTTAACCAGATTATTTTGAAACTGTAAATTCTTTTACAGCATAATGATGAAAAAAATGATAGTTTAGTAATGTGATCCTAGAATATAAAATACACTGTTTTTAAATTGAATATATTTTACATATAAGTTTGTGCATACAGGTGAGGTTACCCTGCAGGTGTGTTTTCTGTCATGCTTGAATACCAAGTGGTAACTTTTTGAAGTAACATGAAAGACATAAAAGAGTAGCTAAGTAACCTTGTTACTAGGGCTGATAGGAGAGGTTACACTGCAATTCACCTGTATTTAAATTTTAAAAACTATATTAAATATTTTATAGAAAAATGAGCTCTGAATCTCTTATTTAAGTAGGAAAAATATTGAGACAGTATTTTTAAATTTTGATCAGCTATTTTATCCAATGGTTTTTCTAGTGGTCTTTTGGAGTGACCTTATGGGAATTAATGACTTTAGGACAAACACCATATGTAGATATTGATCCCTTTGAGATGGCTGCCTATCTAAAGGATGGATACAGAATAGCTCAACCAATCAACTGCCCCGATGAATTGTAAGTAGAGGCTGTTGGAGTTGCATGGTAATTCTCAGAATAATCAAGTTGGAAAATAATATACATAATTAATAAATAAGAACTAATTTAAAACTGTTTAAAATAACTATACATTCTGCATTTTTCTGTAGCAGGAGTGGGCAAACAAATAAGCTTGAGAGCTTATTTCACACATTTTCATAGTTAAGGCCATAGTAAATAGAGCCATAATACCGGTTAGTGAGTTGAGAGAAAAATTCCAATCCCAGCAAAAATCCCAAAGTGCTTTATATTAAAATGTATACAAAAGTAACTTTCAGATCTTAAACTGGATCTTTATACCAATTGTGCTACAGTAAGTATGACAAGTTTACTTGACTTCTGCTTGCTTTTGCTTTTTTAGATTTGCTGTGATGGCTTGTTGCTGGGCACTAGATCCTGAGGAGAGACCTAAGTTCCAGCAGCTGGTGCAGTGTCTCACTGAATTTCATGCAGCATTGGGAGCTTATGTCTGACAATCACTATTCTACTTAAAAAGCAATGCTGCATTCACAGAGAAAACATTTCCATCTATTTATGCAAACTGTAACCTCCATCTTAAAATACCTGGAAGAAAATTCTACTAATTTTTGTGGAGTCTTCACATAATATGAACATCAGGGAATCAACATACTAAGCAGGAGCTTCAGTAAAGGATCTTTTTCCAAAATCACTGTGCCTTAAAAGTAACGAGGTGGGGAAAACCCACTCTGGGGAAGATTGGGGATTATTCAAAATGACACTTATTTGGGGAAAAAAAACCTCTTCTGATTTCCAAAAAGAATTCATGTAATATGGTTGACAAGAATGTAAAGTTAATTTTGGCACTGTTAAGGTGGGTGCAAACCTCAAGGAAATAACTGAGAAATATGAGCTGTTTAAAAAAACAAAATTCAAGTGGCAAAAGTCACCCACCCTTTTTTTCTCCCTTCCTTATTCCCAAAAGTCTTTCGTGTGTTGCAGCATCAAAATATTTAAAATTACTTGACTGGTTTTGGTGTTCAGGTTTGTAGTTGGAATTCTTTGTATCAGTTGCTTTTCTTTTAAGACGATAGCACAGTATGGTTGGAATCACAAGTGGCCTTTTCTTATTTTTAATCCCATTCTTCAGTAGCAGTTCTTACTGGGAAAAATGCTTTAAGGTGCATTGTGCCCCTCCTAAGACAGCAAGAAATTATTTAAACATTCTGGTTTATTCAGTTAAAGTAAAACTAAGCCTCAAATTAAATGGTAAAAATCTAACATACTATTCCAAGTGCTAAAAGTGTTGAAGCTGTCTTTTTATTAGAAGCCTTTCATCCTGGATTATAGAATGCAATTTTTCTTGTTAAAATGGTACTGGTTTATGTGTGTAGGGTTTTTTTATGACCTGAAAAGGAATAAAATATATATATATATTTTAAGGACACAGTTGATGAGTAGAAGAAATTGTTATTATGATTTAATGAGAAACTTTAAATCTGATACTGTAGTGTTGCATTAAATGCATTAGTCAACATTTAATTCAAAATTTGGGGAAAATGAAGCCATTTTATTATTCGTTACATACTGAAGTCCACTACCAACAAGTCAGATTACTTCTCAGATCTCATATTGATTTTAGAGGATGGTAAAAATTGGTTTAAAAATGTTGAACTTATTTATATAGTTAGGTAACAGTTCTGCCATTTTATCTGAAATGCTATTCTCAGACAATTCAGATGTAACTGACAGATAGTTTTCAGAGTTTATAGAAAAATCCCTGCTACCATAGAAATTAAATGTAGTTTAAATCAAGCTTTTTAAAACATACGTCCAAAAGATTTTCTCATACACATTGAAGAAACAAGTTTTGCCCAGCATGGGTTGCTGTTCTCCTGCCATTGCGCTATATACAATATGTGCATGGTGTTTTACGTATGTCAATTTTTTTTTGCAGTTCTTATCAGTGTCACATGGGATCAATCACAAAACTATAGTTGGGTAGGTCTGGGGAATACAACAGCAAAATGTTGGAAGAAGTAAAAATAAAAGTGTTAATTTTGACACATTATCTTTTGATCCAGTAGAAATCTTTTTCTTAGTTCTAGTTTGTGCAGATATAGGTAAGATATGTTAGGATTTCTATCTTTGATAGAACAGATGCATTGTTCAAATCCACATAAAATATCAGCTTTTACCAATGTGCTGTAGATATATTGGAACTTCCATTGGCCCCAGACAGAATGAGTTGTCCAAACAGCTGGAGACATCTGGCTAGGGAACATAAATATATATTAATATGATATAGAAGACAGGATACAAAGTCCAAGGTATAACAAGGAAAGTTCAGCATGAAAGTCCATTTGGTTATTTCATGTAGTTTGCCATTCGGACTTCAATAATGGATGGAACATTTGAATTCTTCCTAGAATGTTGGACAGCAATTATTAACATTAAAACAAACCAAAAGTACATGAACACAAAAGGGAATATGAAGCAAGTTGACCTGGTGTACAACATACAAGTTACATGTATGTCCTTTGTCACAAAAAAAGATTATTTGGCACTGTTGTACCTAATGTGCTAGCAACAAGGATCCAGTTTTGGTAGGAGTAGTGTCTTTTAGAACCCGATACCAATCTGAAAGTGAGTATTCATTTAAAACTGCATATTTTTCTAATGATTTTAATAGCAGTGGAGTTAGGCCAAAATTAAGCACTTCTGAAGATTTCCATCCTATATGCTTAGCTCTAGCTTCAGGGAAGAATGCTTCTTTCGAATTCATTATGTACACAAAAATTGCACAATCAATGGTCAGTGTTGCACACAATGGTACACAGTGTTGCACACAAGGTTTAAAGAGAAATTCAGTCTGTAGTAAGTAAACTCTCAGTTGATTTATGCCTTTGCTTTAATACCTGGAGCAAATTGGCTGGTACAATCAACATGACAGAAGCACTTATTAGTTTTAATAAAACATCCAAAGAGACAGTGAAAGAAAAATGTGTAACCTGAAGAGTGAGCAAAGAAGGAAATGAAACAAGCTGATGGAGACTAGTCTTCAGTCAGTAGTAAACAGTCAAATGACCAAAATATTAAACTGGTGCTATGCAAGATGATGTTATATATAATGATGTAAGCTATTGAAAAGAGGTTCCAAAACTGGATCTACCCATCTTTTTAAAGACAAGTACCTCTCATAACAAAGTTGCTTACATTTGGGAGCATGCCCAAAGTAACTCTATGGAAGCCATGGGACAATTTGGATTGTTTTATTTTTCATAGTAGTATGGACAATTAATTTGTTTCTCAGCTACATTTTCTCAGCTCTCAGTTTTTCATGAATGAACTCTTAACTTACTATTTTTAGGAGTAACAAAAGGAAATTGCTTTCTTAGAATAATCAAAGATGATACTGGCAATAATGGCTTCAAGGTGTCAGAATGAACAAGTTTACAAGAAAGCTTACCTCGGAATAGGGAATAAACAATCCAATTCCTCCTGGACAGACAGTTCAGGGTTTTGAGCCAGTAGATAATAACCTGCTTTTTCTAAAGACATGTTAGGTCAAATAAAATCATTGTTGTTTTTGCTACTTGCCTGATGCATCTAGGAAATCTACAACCAGCCAAGACCTGATAGCAATAACTCTGTCCTGTTGTCACTTTTCAGTTTGCCATTGAGTCTGGAGGGTCTATGTTGCCAATAATGACAACCAGACATTGAGAGAACAGGGCATCCTGAAGAATTTCTTAAAGCTCTGGAATACCATGTTTTATGGGCAAGGCATGCCAATTCAGTGAACTCAATCAGCATTACATCATCTTGAGATAATAAACCCATATATGAGGTCATAACTGCAGTTTCTTTTTTAATTTGTTTTTTAATTTGCAGTTGCTTTTTTAATTTCTGTAACAAAACCAAACAAAAAATCTTTACACGGAAAAATAGGTCAAGGAGATTACATTGCAACCTTCCTGAGCACGTAACATTTTCCTAACTCCTGGATTTAGCAGGAATTGTCATTGACTTGCTGCATCAGTGAGATCTAACCTGGAAATCATCCTTGATTCTTGGTACTCATAAAATCCTAGCCTAAGTGCAGTGGTGGTGATTAGCCTTCCATGATGACAGTGGAAGACTAGTGATGGAGATAGAACGGGAATCATTGTGGCTTCTAGGCCATTGCAGTTTTTTTGTGCTCTAGTTCAGAAACCTATTTCAGACTCAGAAATAGGAGAGAAGTTTTTTTTTTTTTTTAAAGCTACTTTTTATCATAAGATTGATATGGAGATCTATAAACTGAAAACCATCCCTCATAATGATAAATTAGACTCCTGTACCCTGTAAATTCAATTACTCTGAGACACCATTACACAGGAAATTGTTACTGTAAAGTGCCTGACAGAAAGAAAGGGCTATTATGTTAACCTATTCAACTAGAGGAAGCAAGTTAATAGTTGAAGAATAGTCCAGTCTCAAGAGTCAGTGCTTTGTGTCTTTGTTTCCCATTTAGAAATTAGTTGCACAAAAGAAAAATATATGAAATATGACATATTTCATCCTTTTTTAATCTGAAGCTAAAGGAAATTTAAGGTACTGATAAGCGGACAGTTTTCACAATGGAAAGACTAAAAGAATTAGAGTATTTCCAAAATCACTACACAGTTCAGCACTATTCAGCTTATTCACAAATTATTTGACATTTGGGGAGGAGTAAGTAATATGATCAGGCTTGCAAACGGTAACAAGTTATTCAAGATTTGGAAAGAACAAGTGGCCTGTAAAGAAATCAAGAGTATCTACAGAGTACATACACAAGAAACAGAATAGCAAATTGACTTGAACATAACTTTAGTAGCATAATATGTTTTGGGATCCCATGTTTTTATTTACTAGAATTATTTTACCTATTCTGTTCATTGGAGGATGAGGGAATTCTGATGAATAGTTCAGTGAAAATTCTTCTATGTGGCAAGAGTCAAAAATAAAATCCCATGCTATGTCATGAGTACGTTGAAAAATGTCAAATTTATAATGTTTTTATATAACCTATATTAACAACTTTGGAATACTATACTGTATCCAGTTTCACTCTTTTTCAAACAGGATTCTATTTGTAATTATTTGTCTACTGTCTACTCAATTCTATGCAGCTTACAATTTCTAAAACAATGACACATCCATAAAGCCACATTATACAGCTGGAAAAGATGCAGTGATGGGTAACTAAAATGATCTGTATGGAGCAGCTTCCTTATATTTGGTATTTTATATTTATGCAGTGAAGGAAATGGAAAAACAAGAAGGAATGGAACCTCACTGATTACACCAGTTATCTAGTTCAGAATCCTGTTTCACACAGTAAAAACTCAATGGGTAGTTGTTTTTGCACACAATTCACAATTCATGGAATTTGGCAGCATATATCATGGGGATAGCTATTAAGATGTATACAACATGAGTTTAGACAAATTGATGGAGAATAAATCTAGCCATACCTATTCGCTATGATGGCTGTGTGAAAACCTACGTTCGAAGTAGCATGCCACTTTACACAAGTTATGGAAGGCAACAATGGAAGAACTGTTATTTTTGGACTTCCTGGAAAATACAATAATTTCCCTTAGCAGGACCACCTTTGCATTTGTTCAGACAATGAACCTGCTGCTAACCTGCTCCTTATATTACAATTGGCATCTCAAGCTCATTGCACCACTTGTCAGCAAATTCTCAGACCAATCCCAGTCAGCAATCATAGATTAGCTATTGTAAAACCAATCTATAGAAATCACCAGGAAGGACACAAAACTTCTACCTGTTGCTATTACCATTAAAATCCACAGGGCACATCCCACAATAAATTAAGACTTGATCACCTATGTACCTTTGTACCTATGAAGCTTGTCCATTTAGCCTTCCCTTTTCCATCAAGCTCTGTATATGAAGCCAGTCTTGCCATGGCAATCCCCTTTAGAAAATGTTAGGCCTTATCCATATATAGCTATGGATTGTTATGACTGTTTCCTTGTTTTCTAGGTTGATCCTGAAGTTCAAATGTTGACAAGCTATATCTCTGGTCTTTGGCTATATATCAAATAAGTAAATTAATAAATAAGATTGATCTCTGGAGAAGAGAAGATCTGTTGATCTGATTCAGAAGAGTTCATTATTTATTTCTGTAATTCCAGCACTCATCAGAACAACAATCAATGTGAATATTCATTATCAATGTGAATATTCAAACCAGAGTGATGCTGTAATTTTACCTACATGTTGCTACTTTTGTGCCCTGATCCTATCTCCTTGGAACTGAACTTTATTTTCTGGATTAAATATATAGATTATTGCAATCTATTTTGAATTAAACATTAAATAAACTGATTTTATGTTCTGCAGCAACTGAGGATTTTGCAGTATGATCATGTCATGAAGGCAAATTAAATCAATAGAAATGTAAGTAGGATCAAATAAACTGAGTTTTACTGGCATCAAAAAAGAAAAAAGAAAATATGGTTTCAATACTGCAGAAACTATTCCACAAAACAATGAGTCATTTTTGGCTTGGCCCAAGATTTACTTTTCAAGTAGCAGTTGTTTTCAGTTAGCCAAAATTAATTCCAGGCTCCTGCTTTAACACTACAGTATGGTTCTTAGATCTATTGCACCTATAGATGTGTTGGTCCGTTAAGAGATACAGATCGGCATCCAACAAAACACACTTGCTTTAAAAGGGATTATATGATATGGGATAACTTGGCATCAAACACACTTTTCATGCTAGAGAGGAATTGACACAATGATCACACACACTTTGACCATTGTCGACATATATGGGCTGTGCCAGTCAGATATGCAGTGACCCTATAGTGAAGTGTGTTTTTCTGTGCACATTGGTTGAATACCCAGGCTCTGATTTTATATTCATGTAGCTTTATTTCTAAGCAAGGTATACAAGGGGGCTTAAGTGATTAGAAACTACTCCAGCTCTTCTTTTAGCAAGAATCGAAACCGAAGTTACAAGTTACTCTGTTTTCTTTATAAGTCACTTATTTTAATGTTCCATCTGTTGATAAAGGACAGGCTTCCTTTGAACAACATTTTTCCTTCGCGGGGTTCATATTGTCACAGGTTTTTTTAAATTGTACCCAAATGGATTGACACAGACTCGAGAGACACGAAAGTACTGGATACTGGACAGGTGTTTTTTTATATCTTCCTGTAAGGGTTGGGGAGATGTTTTATATATAAAAAAAAGATATAAATATGAAATTTGAGTGCTTCCTACATTCTGTTCTATTGCTATCTCTGTACTGTTACTATGACAATTACTATTCCTATGACCATGTTTATTCTATACTCGATATACTATTACCATGTAATATACTATATTACCATTACCTATTACTGTCCTCTATTACCTATCATCTATATACTATGCTCTATACCAGTGTTTCTCAACCTTGTCAGCTTGAAGATGTGTGGACTTCAACTCAAGCTGGCTGGGGAATTCTGGGAGTTGAAGTCCACACGTCTTCAAGCTGACAAGGTTGAGAAACACTGCTCTGTATTATTACTAGTATGCATCAATGTTCCTTTCTTACGCTTATTCTGTCTTAAGTCCCCTCTCTCTTGCACCTTTTTTACATTGTGCTTTGTCTTGCTGGGCCTCTATACTTCGTTTCTTTTCTTTTGGACCATCCACTCCTTCTGAAGGAAAAACGCCTTTGTTTGGCTGCTGTACTCAGTTTGCTGGTGGTTGCAGAGCTCCGAAGCATACGTCTCCTCCGTTCTCCTCCCAAGGCTCAAATGGGAGGAAAAAAGGCAGCACAGGTGCCTGTACTTTTTTTTCAAGCAGCTTGCTCTTCCACACACATCACAACCTCAGAACAGAAATCAAGCTCTCCCATATGGAAGTGAGACTATTTCACAGAATTATTATTCTTATTTATTTAAATTTACTATAGCTGCCCAATTCCAATGGACTCTGGGCAGCATACAAAACTCCCCTCCCCCTAACACATCTGATAAAATCTAAAACCAGACAAACAGCCCAGACTAAAGCAATCTAAAACCGAAACCAATCAAACAAAACACAACAGTTCCCAACAAAAAAACTAAAATAACTCCAAGCCTGGGACCAAAGCCCGATTTTAATAGCTTTCTGGAACCCTAGAAGAGAGGGTGCTGTCCTTATCTCTTGAGGGATGCTGTTCCAAAGGGTGGGGGCTGCAACAGAGAAGGCACACTTCCTTGGTCCCACAAGGTTTAATAGAGGGGGCCTGCGGAAAACCCACTCTGCCAGAACATATCAGGCAGGCAGAAATGATTGGAGATAAGTGGTGCCTCAGATATCCAGGCCCTGTGCCATACAGGACTCTATAGGTAATAACCAGCAGCTTGAATTTTACTTGGAAGCCAACTGGCAAACAATGCAGCTCATATAGCAGTGGTGACACACGGGCCCCCATTACTGCTTGCCCCACTGCATTTTGAACCAGCTGTAGCTTCCAGGTGGTCTTCAAGGGTAGCCCCTGTAGAGTGCATTGCATTAACCCAGTCATGAGGTGACCGGGGCATGAGTAACTGTCTGAAAGTCCTTCCAATCAAAGAAAGGGCACAACTGGTGCACCAGGTGAACCTGTGCAAAGGTCCTCCTGGCCACAGCGGCCATTTGCTCTTTGAGAGGTAGCTGTGAGTCTAGAAGGACCCCAAGTTGCACACCAGTCTTGAATGGTCAAAGGCAGAACTGCTAACCCTAACCAATTACATTTGGCGTAACATAGATAGGCTGGAAAGCAACAGCAAAATAGTAGTAATAGTGGTCAGGATTTCACAGTTAGAAGCAGCATCAATAGCTGTTGCTTGACTGTCAGCACTCAGGAGGAAGGTTAATATAAAGTGTAGCTCACATTATAACTCACCAAGGAGAATTGACAGCATGGTGTTTTTATGTTGTTTATCTGAGAATGAAAGTCTCCAGAATAGTCAGCTTTGAGTGACCCTGAGACTAAATGACATGAGGTTGAGAGAATCACAAAGAGTTCAGCATCTTAGTCAGAGTCTTCATTATATGTTGATATATTATTATAGTCTGATGGAATGTGGTGGCCAGGTCATTGATTCATCCAGTTTCCGTATCGTCTCCCATGAAAATTGAAACTGGCCATTCATTTGCATATACTTTTAAATACATAACATTCAAATGCCAACAAATCCAATAGTTGAATATCACCATACATCTAGACGCTGCTTCTAAAATAATATGGTGCACACTCACGTATGCCAACATTCTTTGCTACTGTACTTATGAGACTTCAAATGAAATCAAAAGAGAAAAAAGAAAAGCCAACAGGAAACACTTAGGAAGTAAAAGAATCATATGCAGAGAACAGCAGCAAAAACTAACCAAGAAAATATAACTAATAATAATAAATCATGCATGCACTATAATTCAAACTGCACTTTATAGTATAAACTTACAAAGAAATACATTTTTAGACTTCTATATCAGTGAATCTCAATAGAATGGAAATAATTTTGACTAACAGGTAGAACTGTATTGTCAGAAATAAACAAGTTACATACTGTATATTTACTTGTTTATTCCCAAAACACTCACTGCACCCTAACACTATTTGACATTTGATAAGACCTAGTTTGCATGCCTGAAGGCCACCCATCATGTCATCTAACTTAGTATGCTGGTACAAAGATGGTTTTAAGATAGCAGCATTTTTTATCTTCATCCCTTCTTTTTCCTCCTTTAAGTTCCCTAATGAGGACTTCTTGACACTTGATTTGATCATATGCCATCAAATCAGTGTCAACTCTTAGTGACCACATTGATAAATTTTCTCCATGATGATCTGTCCCTAACCTGTTTCCAATGGTCTTGACACTCGACAGCTGGCCTAATAAAGTTACTGCTTCTCTGGACACTAGATTTTTGGCATTTGAATGTTATGTATTTAAAAGTATATGCAAATGAATGGCCAGTTTCAATTTTCATGGGAAACCATATGGAAAGATACAAATGAATTGCAAGTTTAAATATTCATGATAGAGATTTGTTATTTGCATTTTATTTTACCTTATTTTGCTATATATGTTCATAAAACTCAGAAAAAGGACCCTTACTATAACATGCTGGGATTTATATTAAAATAATTTGGTGCATAGCACTTTTCTGTGTGTTTTTTTAAAATTTTCTTGAGTTTGGTCATCCCATTTCAAAGGTAACTAAACCAGTGACTGCATTTTGACTTCTGTACTATATGAAGTGCTTTCTTTGTTGGTAATTTTCTGCCCACTAGCTTTATCAGATTGATTTATTTATGAAATTTATCCAACCAGTAGAATTCCGAGTGGTGAATAAAAATGAAAACATATCCAATCAATTGAAAGAAAAACCAAATCATGGCCCCTATAAAAACATCATTTCCAGCCTCTTACACACCAGAGCTCCATTAACATCCTGGTCCCAGTGCCTAAGGGAAGAGCCAGGTGTTCACTGCTTTCCAAAACGACAACAGGGTCAGGGCCATCCATAAGAGATACTTGGTTCTCATATCTCTTCCTTTCAAGTTATCTCAAAGGTTATGTATTTTCCTCTTTTCAATTTTTTTCAATCATCTTTAATGAAACATGTGAAATTGGGTTCACAGCAAAAATTCTGTCAGGAGAACACAACTTGAAAACTAGAACAGCCAAAGACAACTTTAAGCTGCCTCACCTGTGAGCTAGAGATGAGATGAAGATGGTTCATATAAAAACGGTTACTAAGATATGTTCATGCCATAGATGGGGGAATATGAGAATATACATGCACTGCTTTCATACACAGAATGTGCTTTCAGACACATTAATGGGGTTAATATGCTGTTTCTGGGAACGCCTCCTTTAGTCACTCTTGGTTTGTTTAGATAATTTTTTTAGAGATTAGAACTTGCAAATGTCAACAGAGCAAGTTTCACTATTGTGTGTTCATCAACAAATGTAATTGTGTTTTTGGAAAGTCCTTTGCTCTTTGAGACAATACAAAGGTCACTTGCCTTGTTGGAAAAAAGAATATCTGTGCATCTCCGGAGAATGAAGCAGGAGAGACCTTCCTCTGATACCCAGGTATTTAAAGATATTTGGGAAACAGAACTTAATTTGGCATTTACCCCACATAATATATCTGTTCTGTGGGAAGCTGGTGAACTTTTCTTGCTTTAATCTTTCAGTAAAATTCTCCTAGAAAGATGTAACTACTGGTTTTTCTATTAAAGAATTAAAAAGGGAAGAAATATTTGCTTCTCCAATTAGAGTCCAATCTAGAAAGCTGATGTACTGAAAGCTGTCATAGAGCTGGAAGGGGCCATTTAGGCCATCTCCCTGCTTAGTGGAAGAATTCAGTTTATATTAGTCTCAAAAGATAGTTGTTCACTTCTCTGAGTTATTAGTCCACTGTCAAACTGTGCTTACAGTTTGGACATTTTTCCTAGCATTTAACCCCCCTGTTATTTAAATTCATTATTCTGTGTCCTGCACAATGCGTGATAGGAAACAGACCTTGATCTCCAGTGTGTGTCTCTTCAGATATTTGAAGAATATTTATATTTCCTTCCCCACTTTCTCAAGGCAAAGCACACTCCATTTCCTCAATCTCTCTTCATACCATTTAGTTTCTGGTTTCTTGATCATTCCTGTTGCCCTGCTTTGCATCTATTCCAATTTGGCTGAATTTTTCTAAAACTGGAATTCCAGAACCAGAGATGGGACCCCACCAATGTAGAATAGAATAGGCACAAATGCAAAATCATATTTCTGTGAGCACACTGGTAGAACACAATACATCTGGCAAATTGACAAAGTATTTATGATTTTAGGCAGTACATGTTCCATTTTTCCTGTTAACTCTGTTTCTCTTCCTTGACTATTAATATGGATTTTCTTTGGGAGGAAAATCCAGAACAGAAGAAAAATCTTTCATGGTATATGTACATTGTAGCCAACTTATTTGTATTTGTAGTCCCACGCATTTCCTTCTAAAGTGTGGGACTACAACTCCCAGAATTCTCATAAATGATAGGCCAGTTGGTCATGGATAATAGAAACTGTAGCTCCACATAACTACAGGGCATTAGGTTGGAGAGGACTGTATGTAATTTTTCATTATAAACAATGTAATTCATTGTCTGCCTCTCGGTATTCCATTGAAGTTGCTTGAAATAACATTTCTTGGCTATATACAAGTCTATTGAAGGGTATCTTGGAAAAGTTTTGGTACCACTTGTTCCCTGAACAGTGAGTGAGGTCATTCAATTAGCAAACATCCCACCCTGCCCTCCACCCTTTATATTAGATTTACCTCCATTGTGTAATTCATTTACATGTGCGTACACATATGAGCAGTCACAAAAGTATAACACAGAGCTGAAAGATTTATGAGGGGGCCTGAACTGGTCAATTGTAATGAGTTGAGGAAATATACTAGTCAGAAGCCAAACAATAAATCAACAGGATCTTGAATAAGAAAACAGGTTTTTAGCAGGGAAGCTGGACATAAAGAGAGTATTCTGTGTAAATAATAATTGCCAAGTGGGCTTCTAAGTACTTGAGCTTCAGAATAGTCTGGGTGAAGTTATCTATGGAAATTTCACAGTGACAAGTGATGCTTTCTGTATATTTCCAGCCCATATTTGACTCCTTTGTCTGAAGAAAGAGCAATGCCAATAGAGGCAGTTGCTGATCTAGGAAGGAGACCCCACAAAAATTAAAGCTTTGGTTGCCTCCTTCCATTACAATTTGCAATCCAAATTTGGGGACAATTGGAATCTAACCTAGTCATACAAGATTTCTCACTTCCTTTTATATATATATAATTTTATTTTTATTTTTTCTAAAGCTAAATTTTTAAAGCTAACAGAAACTAATATAAAGAAGAAAGAAAGAAGAAAAAAAGGAAAGGAAAGGAAAAAGAAAGAACAAAGCCAAAAGTGCAGAGAAGAAAAGAAAAAAGAAAGTATAAAGAAGTAGCTTCTGATTTTCTTTATAGCAGTTATAAGTATAAATATAAATTTACCTCTATGCTTACATCATGATTTTCATTTTTTTTCTATAATCTATTTTTTTTATCATCGAAACCATAAGTCATAAGTTCATCTTTTTCCATTTCATGCAAAGTCTATAAAGGGTTTCCAGTCAGCCATAAACTTAGATAATGTCTTTTCTCTAATCAAAGATGTCAATTTGGCCATCTCTGCAACTTCCTTCATCTTCACCATCCATTCCTCCATTATGGGTAATGTTGGATCTTTCCACCTCTGTGCATATAATATTCTCACTGCAGTTACCATGAATTAAAACAAAGTTCCATGACTTTTTCCAGTTGTTTATCAGCCAGTCCCAAAAGAAAAGTCTCTGGTTTCAATTATATATTAATCTTTAAAATCTTCTGAATTAGTGTATGTATTTGAATCCAAAACTTTATGGCTTTTTTACACATCCACGAAGCATGATAAAAAGTCCCTTCTTCTTGTTCACATTTCCAACATAAATTTGAAGTACCTTTATACATTCTAGACAGTTTCTCTGGTAACATATACCAACGATACATCATATTATAAAAATTCTACTTAAGATTAAAACATAGTATAAATTTCAGTCCTTTCAACTACATATTCTCTCATTGTTCCATCTGAATATTATAACCAAGTTTTTAGCCCACTTTATCATACATTCCCTCACTTGTTCTTCTTCTGCCACAAATTTCAATAGAAGTTTATACATTTTAGCAATAAAATGTTCATCATTTGTACACAGTTCTATTTCAAACTCAGTCTTACAGTGCTGAGAATCAAAACAACTTATCTACCTTAAATCTTTCTGATAATTGTACATATGTAAACAAACCATTGATAAGTGTATCCTTCTGCCACCAAATCTATGCCCTTTGGGAAGAATTAAAAAACACAACTATTGACAGGCTTTCTGATACAGAAATTATACACCAACACCACCTTAAGAGTGAGTGCAATACCCAAGAGTCTTTCTCTGGCACAGTAAGTGTTCAGAAAGGAGTGAGACAGGAATGTATCCTTGGCCCCTCTCTTTTCAACTTGTACATCATTTCACTGGTGGACCTTCTTTGTAGTCTGGATTTTCACACACCTAAACTAGCAGGGTGCAAAATCCCTACACTCCTCTACACTGATGATGCTGCCATGATTTCACAAAACCCTACAGAGCTGAAAAAAGCAATAGCAGCAATATTTTGGTTCTGCAGACAAAACCACCTGGTTCTTAATTTTGATAAATCTAAAATTCTGGCCTTTGCTAAGAGAGCCACCCAACAATCCTGGAGAGTGGAAGGGCACAAGTTACAGCAGGTACTGCATTTAAATACCTTGGGGTGGTTTTCTATTCTAAAGGCACCTGGAAAGCGCCTTTAGAATCGTGTAGTGCAGCTACCTCTTAGGTCTACAAGTGCTATTAAGTGCTTCTTTTATACAAGCTTAGGACAATTAATCTCTGTGGCGTTAAAACTTTTTGAGGCCAAGCCACTGGCCCAAATCCTTTATGGGACACAAGTAGGAATTTATGCAAAGAAGGATGCACTGGAAACAGTGCAAGCAAAATTTTTGAGATCAATCCTTGCTGCACCCAGTGGAACAGCAAACGCCCAGTTAAGGCTTGAGACAGGAATGCCAATCCAGGTAAGGGCTTGGAGGGGGAGGATAAACTACTGGCTGAAAATCCAATTTTTTCCAATCAGACTGACCCCTTTACTTTTAATAGACAATTTTCTTTCTCCCTGGAAACAGGACGTAGAGCAGAAGTTGGCATTATATGGCTTTCTGTACTATTCCTAATTTCTTTAGGATATGACCAAGCCAAACAACTGCTCACTCACTCAAAGAATAAGGGATCGGAATTTCAGACTGAAGGCTGTCCCAACGTGGCAGAAATTGGATAAATAAGGGCACTTGGGAACCAGCAAGATATCTACAAAATCTAACTTTCCCCAAGCTGAAAATAGCATTTTTCAAAGCCAGGCATGACATGTTACCATCTGCACTGCTGCAAGGCAGATACTCCAGAACCCCATTAGCTGAGCGTACCTGCCCCTGTGGCGACAAAGAGGTCGAAACCATTATGCGCGTATTACTACACTGTAAACTCTACAGGGATATCAGGCCTGCTTATATTCTGCCCCTGATATGTAAATTTCCAGGAAGACCAGACAATTTCTATGTGAACCATCTTCTAGGAGATTTGAAACCCTTTATCACTGTGCAATAGCCAAATTCTGTGTTGCCACAATGAAAATAAGGCATAACTGGTTACAGAAATAATCACTTCTGTTTTATTTATCACTTTATATTTAACACATACTATCTTGTTTTTAGATGATATATATTTTACTTCATAGTCTGTCATATTTTAGATTAACTAAAATAATGCACAATTATAGCAGTGTATGTCACATTTTATGAGTTATTTTATCTCTGTTATGCTAGTATTTCGTCTCATCTATTCGATTTTATTTTGGTGATGGTGTTGTTTTTAATTCTTACTGGTCATTGACTGAATAAATTATTATTATTATTATTATT